TGCCCAACTCCAGCATCTGAAAACCGAGTTGCCGAAACACATGTTTTGTGGGTTTCGTAAGATGCTCGTCAGAGCCTGTGCCACCACATAGACATTGGTGGCTAGATGAGGAACATCCCCTTGCACCGCGAGGATCTTGTGGAGAGTGTTCTCCATCCGGCGGAGGTCAACCAGGAATTGTTGTCCTTTGATAATTGACCAGTGAGTCTCAAAATCATGCCTCGAAGCATCAAGGTCTTTCTTGCAAAGATCATAGAGGGCTTGCTGCCCTGGTGTCAAAAAGTTGGACGAAGGGTACGTGTGGCCTTCATCCATGATGTCAACCAAAAGTGCAACCAAGCGAGCCTGAGGGGTCCCGCGCGCTGCAGTGTCCTTGGGGACCTGCACTGAGGTAGAAGAGCTCGGTGCCCCTGGGCCACTTGGTTGCTGCCCCGTCTGAGCGGAGGAACGCAATCCGCCTCCTCTCAGTTTGAAAGGATGGGGATCTCGCCAAGGTCCATAGCCCCCGTGACTTCTAAGGACCTGATTCGAGCCCCACGCTGCAAAAGTATCAACCGAGTTGTCTGCAACCCTGCAACTCAATTGATCATTGTCCCCAAGCTGAAAATTTTCAGCAACCCCTGGCAGATTAGATGGAGAGATGGGTGTTGAAGCCACCTTCAAAGCCCTGTTACCCACACTGCTGGAGGTCTTCGGCCGTTTTGCGGCGCTTGGTTTCTTCATCCGGAGCATCAGTTGAAGGTCGTTTCAGCATCGTGGTGAGCTGTGCCTTCTGATCCGGTGTCAAACTGACGCCAAGGGTCGTGATGAAACCTGCTACAGCTTCCGGGACAGTGTCCTCCATGGCATCACCGTCCTGAAGCTCAACGACCGGTTTGGTTGTCTTCACCATTTCCATGTAGGTCGCGCTGGTGGAGTTCAAAGCTCCTTGTTCAGCTTCCAACTTGCTTTGAATGCCCTTCATCTCCTCAAGCATGTCTCCATAAGCTTTCTTGGCTGTGTCAAGCCGTTGTTGGAGAACCATCTTGCGGTGGGAGAGGTCTCGCAGGGCAGAAACCTGAGCCTTGAGCTTGAGGGCCATGTCCTTCTCAGTCTCAGGAGGAGGTTTTGTGATACGCTCCACAAGTTCCTTGACCGCAGTGGGAAGCTGAGCCATGTTCTCTTTCAGCACATGGGTCAAGTCATCTGGATCCGTGCTGGGAGGCGCAGGCTTGATGCCTAGCTGCTCAAGCTGCTGTTGGAGCTTGGAGTCCAAGGTGGTCCAGGAAGATCTGAGCAGGTCCGTCGTGGCTTTGTGAACATGAGAGATCTTGGATGTGCGCCCGGTCCCCAAGCCTGGAGGGGGAGCCACGGGCTTCTGGCGAGGTGTGAACCGCCCTCTTGACCGGGACGGAGACCTGGCTTGAAAACCCCCAGCTGGTTTGGCCCAAGTCTGGCCACATTTGCGACAAGTGTAGCCTTCACAAATCTTATCTTCCCATATCCAATTGCCACAGGTGGGATGCTTGCAAACCTGATATTGGCGGCTCCAGGAGGTGTACTTCATGTGGTAGTACCGCCGAGGCCACCCTGCTTCTCCTCAAGGACCTGCGTGAGGGAGTCGTGAAGTGCCCAAGTCGAGGAGCTTGAGCCACCTGGTCCCTTGAGCCGAGAAGCTTGAGCCATATATATATACATATATATATATATATTAATATATATATATATATCTTTTAAAGAGAGAGAGAGAGAGAGTATAATATACGGTGATGACATGGGTATTGTATTTCTTTCAATCCCCTCCAGGAAAGTAACCAACCTCATCTGACTGAGAATTGCAGCTCTCTGTTGCCAACTGCGAGCTTTCGGTCTGGCTTTGGTCTGCGGACGTCAATGAACAAGACCCGATTGTGGAAGGGAGGCTGCCAGGGCAGCGAAATGGGCGATTTCGCCTTTCGACTCGGAGGAGCCAAACGAGAACATTCCTAGGCATCGACATCCAAACTGTTTCGTTGATCATGGCACCTAATGAGTGGTGACTCTGGGCTTTGATCGCAGCCCCAGATCTCTTGTGGCCAACCCAGCGAAGCCAATGGCTTCGCGCAGTTTCAACTCCCAGCATCCTTGGCATCTGCGAGCTGGTCATGCTATCGGTGACCGCAGAGGCCGCAGACATCTTGCTTCCAGGAAGTGGAAGAGAGGTGCCGCGGCTGTCCTCCACACGAACAGCAGCGGCGGTGCATCCCGTGTGCATCCCGGCACCTCTCAACTTGGGGGTTCCCATGAAAAAATCGACCGAATCCGAAGAACTGGCACGAATCCAATTGAAGCGATTGCGGCATGCTTATTAGAAAAGGATGGCACACCGCGTGTAGGTCCGGTGGTTTATCCATCTTGTGCCATCTGCTTTGCTGTTCCTTTTCTCAGCCAAACTCTCACCGTTCGCCACCCAAACACGGTTCACTGCCTCACCGTCGTTCTTCTCATCCGCCACATGTCCCGGCAACGTCTCGGGGAGCTCTAGGTCACCACTTCCTCCGCCGGCCTGCCACGCACCACCCGTCTTGGTGCAGACCCCGAACAGACAGAGACCTCACATCACAGACCTTGCACGGGACGTCACAGACCTCACAGACCTCACAGACCTCACCAGGGTCCGCCGTTTTGAGAGGGACACACTCACCTACTGGGGCCGACCGACGATCCGGACTGACCACACCTGGGTGAATTGATTGGGCAAGCCTCACCGGTCCGATCTGCCCGAAAACCGCTGGAGTGAGGCGTCAGGCCCGGAAGGCCTCCAAGTCGGCTTGAGCCGCTTCACGCAACTCTCGTTTCATCCTCCGCTGCTCCTGGGTGTGCAGCAAAGGCAGGGAATGATTAGGTGCGAGGTGTGTCAAAGAGAATGCCCGTTTGACCTTCAGTAGATGTTTGAGGATTTTAAATACACGAGCACCTCTTGCATGGAGGGGTCTCAAATGAGACACTCAAACGTGTCGGTTCACTTTGCTACGCCTTCCCGAATCCTCAAAGGCTCCACACCCACTTCGACAGACCCTGCACAGACCCTGCGCAGCATCTGCGTGGCCAGACCCTGCACAACGGCCAGACCCTGCACAGACCAAGCTTCGGCTTTCTCGAACGCAATCCGATCCGCTTCAGAGGCCTCTTCCATCTTGGGCCCAGGCATCAACCACTCCTCGGTTCGCCCAGCCACACCCAGGACTCAGATCTCCGTGTCCGAATGGGGCGATGCAAGACGTCCGAAGCGCGAGATGGTCCTTCTTTGATGAGACGAGACGGACGGAATGGTGCAAAATCTGGGTCCACCTGGTGTTTATCGGGGCTACAAGCAGGGAGCATGGATGACAATAGAAAAACATTTTGCAGTTCCCCATAGGTCAAGGACCTCCTTTTGATCTGGTCATGGAAAAGCATGTCTTAATTAAAGGACCAGGCGAACGCCTGTAGCGGCAAGTAATTTCTGTGTGCCCTAAATCGCAATTGGAACATTCACCGCATGTGCATCAGCGAAACATGATGTTGTACAAAGAGCAATGATCCGGCAACATGATGTTGTACTAGCAGTGGGGGCTCCGGCGATCCATAATGTGCAATTCGTATATCATATAAATCAAAAAAAGTTCTCATAAGTTCTACAATCCGCCCTACCCGATTCATGCATCCATGACGCTGGTAGTAGCATCGGAATATCACGTCGGTTCCGCCAGAGGCAAGTGCCTACCCCGACACAAAGGCCAAGGAATATCACGCCAATCACTACGAAGATGATAATCCTCGGAAGCAGTCGAATCGGCCATGTTTTGCAGGGTCTTTCAATGAGGCCCTACCAAACACCCTTTGATTCTACGTTCTGAAGTTGTTGCCTTCATGTAGCAGGCTAACACAGTACTCAGGACGCTGAACAGGTTCCCATCACTCAGTGGACCATCGCAACCAGTTCACACGGCCAACCAACGACCCCCGCTGCTTTCGCTCCGACCAACGATGCGGCCGCCTTCCGACCGCGTCGACCGCCGACCGCCGACTGCCGGCGAGGTGGCAGAACGAGGCTTCACCACCCGCGGAACCGACGCGCGGAACCGACCGCGGCAGCCAAACACCCGCGCCGTGCATCTGATCCGGCAGAATCACGATGTTCACCACCTCTTGGCACAGCACCTCCTGCACCTGACGAGCAGGTCTCCGGTCCGCGGAGCGGTGTCCGCGGTGTCCCCAGTCTTCGTTGGTCGATCATCCCGCTCGATGGAGTTGATGGTCTCCGAGATCAAAAAGCATTCGTTTTTATACAAAAGGATGTGTAGGTTGGGCAGGGCAGTCCGTGGACGTCACTCCATTGCAAGGTCCAATGTACCACAGTATTTCGTTGTACGTCACGGATAGTCACTAGATGTCACTAGTTAGTACGCCGAAGCTTTCTCCTCCTCAAAGACAACAAAAAGCATTTGTCTTGCTCATAGTCCGTGGCACAAGCCAATAGCCTCCTCCCCACACATCTCTTCTGCTCAGGCACAAGCAAGCTGAGGCAAAGGAGGTGGAGGGAAGAGCGGCTCCAGCCATAGCAACTGACCATGACAAGCACACGAATGTCCTACAAATATGTTGTCCTTTTTGGGGCAACATACCAAACCAGACGGTAATTCGACTGTCGGGATTGAAAATCAGTGCGGATCATCAGCCAACGCCAGGTGAGAAATCTTGTGCGCCCAAGTAAGAGTTCCAAGTGCTGAGCTAAGGATATGGGCTCTAGTGCTATCTTCACTACATGTCATTGCCCAGGTGTTACTCCTGCTTGCACGGTCTCTTTCAGCTTCATCAAAACCACTCGAGCCCAAATTGCAGCGGACGAGCACTGGCTCCGAGCTGGCCGAAGCCAGACAACGACTTGCTCTTCGGGATTCAAACAGTCAAACCCAGCGATGTATTTGACTGAAACAAATATATAGATCCGGTCCTTCGACGCCACAAGGATCTGGTAGGTCCTCCAGTCCTCCCCAGGCCTGAATGGCTGCCCTGCCAACTGCAGAGACCCGCCACCGAGCTATTTGGCACGCCTCGAAGAGCGCAGGGACGACCAGCTGGGGCGACCAGTCGGCCATCTGCGACTATCCAGCTCCAGCTATCCATTCCAGCTCGAACCGATGTAGTTTCGAGACAGCGGTTCCTGCCTGGATATTCCAAATTCGGGATAGAGGGCAAAACCCAAAATGCAATCCATGCCAACACCCTTCCTTTTGACCAGGAACAACCAGCGACTGCGGTGCATCCAAAAAACGCACGCGATCGATCCGTCTCATGCGGAGGACGCAGGCCCGAGACAGCGAGATCTGTCTCATGCACATCGTCAGGTGCTAATGTAGCCTTTGTTCCTTCCACCCAAACTGGAATCGGAAGAAGAACTGCATTCTGGATTCATATGGTTCAGCACCCCTAAGGCCTAAGGGATTCATATGGTTCAGCACCCTAGGGGATTTATGGTTCAGCACCCTAGGATGCGACCCACCAAATCCTGTATGCTCACTTCGGCCTGTTTCGCGGGCCGCAGCTGCCAGAGACGGGAAATAGATCCAATCTGCGTCCTCATCACCTGCCCAGTGCAGCATCAGCGCAGGCGTCGAAGAAAAGCTATATCGGTTGGCCCAAACATTCTCAGAGAGTACCCGGTACCGATTCCCAAATGGATAGTGGCACGGTTTCCAATACATGTTTAGTTGGGATTTGCTTTTCTATCAATTTCTATCATCTGTATATTCCCAACACGCAAAACTCAGCAACTCCGAGCAGTGACAATTTTTCACAGCCATGGCCAATTGTTGTTGCAAAGTCAACGTGCAGGGTGTTGTAAATTTGAGTGCAACAAAATGCTGTGTGTTTCTTCCGATGATGTACTTGACTTGGCAACAGAATGCAGGGCGCAATCATTGAAGAACCATGCCAACCATGCATCCTGGGGCGGGATGCGTCACGCTCACCAGGCTCGCAACAACTGGGGGGAGCTCTTGAGCCTAGCTCTCATACTCCAGTGACCAACAGAAAAGAACATGCCCACACACCAGTGGCTATTGATGGTCTGAAGAATTCAGAGATGACCGGCCACGACACCATGTCCAATCTTCTCTTCTCCCAGCCATCGCCTTCACGTTTGGCTTCCACTGGCTTGGACCTCGCTTCACGGAGTATGGACACTCCCGAACTGGTGGAGCTTCCCACCCTGTGGGAATCCCGGTGTGCTGATCAAAACGGGCATCCGGTCCAAATCAGTCTTCTTGACAAAGGAGTATAGGACCTTTTACTCTATGTAAAGAACCATACTGTCCTGTATGATACCTCGAGCACAAACATGCCAACAGTCTGACAAAGAATGAGTGAATTCAGATACTTGGGTTGACTTGGTCAGAGAGGACAGCACATCCCCTTTGACTGCACACTGCACACCCACAATTTTCAACCAGCTCTCCCATGCGCTCATGCACGTTCCAGATCTTCTCATCCCAAAGTGTTGAGTTGTGCACATTTGGACCTGCAAAAAGGCTCAGGAAACCTACAGTTAGCCAGCATTTCCACCTCAGACACTCCCACAACCCATCTCAGAACCCCATTCCTCTCCCAAAAAGACCAACCCCCTCCCACGATTCGTCTCAGTCTTCGTCTGCCTCGGCACTGCTCCACCGGACCATCTCTTTTGGTCCCAAGCGACTCAAACTTCTTCCGCTTCCGCGCGCGTTCCAGTTCAGCGGCCTTGTCCTGGACGGACGGGCGCCATCGACGCGGACGCCCGACCCGCCCGGGAGCGATCGACGCACCGGCGGGCCCCAAACGGCGGGCGGCAAAGTCCGTCCATTGAGACAGTTCGTTCGTTTCCAGTGGGGGGTTGGGGATTTTTGAATGACCCACCTACCCACAGAGACAACTGGAAAACAACTCGCTCTTTGGAGGAATGACCCAGTTTGCTCCTCTTCATCTGCTTGCTCAGGTTCCCCCGGCTCTTCGGTCTCTGCATCTGCAGGTGCAGGCAAAGCCAACCTGGGAGCACAAACAACACACCGCTCGTGAGGAATCACAGAATCACTGAACAAAATGAGGACTCTTGCAAGTGACTGCTTGTGTTTGCATGTGGGAATAGTGCAAGAAAAAGGTTTTATGGATAAATGCATGCAATTCAGTTAAAGAAGCCTTTTCTAGCTTTTGTTGACCTTTACCTTGGGGATAGGTGTTATCTTTTTCAATGAGCGTTATCTCTTTATCTATCTAACACGCACTTCTCCAATAGCACCTGGAAATGGACTCCTGCTCGCTTCTTCCCAAGAAAAAGCACTTGGTACGACATAGCTGTCAGCTGGTCCTAGTTGCTCTCACATGCATGGCAATACGCCTTGAGGTCTGCCCTCCAACTGTGCTGCCAATCTTCAAAGCACAAAAAGGGAAGTCAACAATTCCCCTGAAGAAAGAAGAAACAAAAGAACACTTCACTGCTGGCCCAGCCTGCTCGATTACTGTATCTTTTGGCTCTTCTTCTTCTTCTTCTTCCTCTTCTTCTTCTTCTTCTTCTTCAGACGCATCCTGTGAACCCTGGATGCCTTTGGACCTCTTCCCCCCCCCCGGTTTTCCAGTGGCGTCGGACCCCATCGATCCACCCCGGACCCGGTCGAACGGTCCAACCGCCTCGGCGCAGCGGCGTCCTCGGCGTCGCCCGCGCTCGGCGAGCGGTGGGGGCGCCGCCTGAGGAGGGCGGTCCGCCCTGCCAGTTGTCACTGGCGTGAACTGGAAACTGTGCTGTGAACCAATGCAGGTCTAGAGTCTAGGAGATCGGAGATCCGCATCCCGCAGGTCTCCCCAGTAGTCCCGACGGTGGACCTTCCTTGTCCCCCTCCGCGTCGCGACCGACGCGACCGACGGGTCGCGCGCCTGCGGCGGTCGGGTCTGCGACCCTCGGAGGCCTCGATCGAGGGGCGGGGTCGGCGACCGAGGTCGTTCGGTGGTGGTTTGAGTGGGAAAGGTCAGTGGCTGGGCCAGGTTCTTCGAACTGCTTGAGCCAAGAAGCCTTCATTTTGTCACTCCCTCAAACGAATTCTTGAAGCCCCGAAAGCAGACAAACTGTCCAACCCTTTTGTGGGTCAGAATGCATTCAAAAGGGGCTTGGAGAGCTGCCACAAATTTACCCAACCCCCGGGCTGAAGCACATCAAAGCCTTGTCTTGCCTGAGAAGTGATATAACTGATTTCCAAAATGGTGTCAGTGCTTCCGCACAACATCACAAGAGAACCACCTATCTAGTGGGAACCTTCCTCGCTGGCCATTCTCGCTTGCCTTCGGTCCATTCAAATGCCCACGGTCGTGGTCGTCCTGGTGGCTCCACCGAACGGTCAGCTCCCATGGTCCCGTCAGGCCCGGTCGAACCAGCGAGGTCCAACTCCAACGGACCATGGTCCCGTCCTTCACACGGCCTGGAATGGGTCGATGGAACCCATGTTGACAACCACACATTGTAGTAAAAAAAGCCATTCTTCAAGAAGGGAGATTCTGCCGCGCATGCCATCCGTCTGGTGACCCATTCCCTTCAAAATCCTTGGAAAGTCCCGCCCTCCTCGACTGCCCCGCTCTCCTGGCCCTGGGTCAGCAGGTACAAGTCATTCTCCAGCAAGCCTTCGTGGGCCTGCTCTCCCTCGTCCTCCTTCGTTGGGAACGAGTGTGTCGAGCGCAATCGGAAGACCCAGACCCCAAAGAGATTGAAAGTGAATCTCGATTGAACGAGACTTGGAACCATTCAATTTGAGGATCCGATCACTGGAACGGGCTGGGTGTTCCTCGTTGCCAAAGCGGGATGTTTAAGGGGAATCCTACTGTGCTTTTGCTTCAGCACCACCTATTTGTTTATACAATGCAAAAATCCACAACTAAACCAAAGGCTGCGATCTGAATGAATCGCATCAGGACCCTCTATGTTTCATTTCACGGGTGGAATTTGGTACAAGTCATTCACAAGTCTCTTTTGACCAACACCAAGCATCTTGATCTTCTGCCCCAATGAAAAGAATCCCAAACTGGACAAAGAATAGTTGCTCAAAAGCCCGGCGCTAAGGGTGAGATATCCTTCCCTCACACACGGCAAAAACCATGCACAACCTCTGTGGAAGATGGTTCCTGGTCCTCTGCCTCTGGGGCAAAGCTCCTTGCAGGTCAACAGCCGCAAACGAACAATTCACCGGGCATCAATTACTTGCTGCACCATGACGTCCGAGTTCACTCCGACTGTCCAGCACCTTATGATTGCAGCCCTGTGACCAATTGTGCAAAGATCCCAAGACATTAAAGTCTGACAGTGTCAGGATACCCAAACATCGGTCGCAGCATTTTGCAAGTCACGGTCGTTGACTCATGTCGCTCCAGCCTGGGTTCGCTTGCTTCGCCCATGGCGTCCGAACCAAAAAACCGCTACAAGTCCTGGTTGAACCAAGACCGCGTTTTGAACACCTCCGAGAATCAAGAAATGTGCATGACATGGAATTGTTACTGTGGTTCAAAACCTTGTGGCTGGTCCCCCTGCATCAGATCACCAAGGGCGCGGCACATCCCCCGCAATGCAAACAAAGTCTGGCAAATTGGTTGTACAGCGAGAGCGGGTTGTTGGGGAGCCCCCGGAAATGCAAAATTTTGTGGGTTGCTTGGTTGCTAGGTTGTTTGCTTGTTAATTTTGTTGTTAATTACGTTTTTTTGGTTGTTTGATCCACTTGAAACAAAAATAAATGTAGTTGTAGTTGCATGGTTGTTGCTGCTGCTGCTGCTGCTGTTGTTGGTTGTTGGTTGTTGTGCTTGGTGTGCAGCCAGGCTCGGGATGGTGAAAACCTTCGGCGGGAGTACAAAAAAATCTTACGGGAAATCCGGGCCCTGCAGGGAACACCACGAGAACGGGAAGCTCTATGCCTGCCCAATTTACCACTCCTCTTCATGCCACTCACTCGTTCATCGAGAAATACCAGGAAACCGTAATTAGGCAATTTGACATCAAGTGCTGCATCATTGAAGCGTTTACTTGAACTTATGAATTTTGCAAGTCAGGTCGTAAAACATCCATTCAGTGCAGTACTGATGTGTCATTTGACCCATCGTACTTAGGCGTGTTTTGTTAATGTTTGCATTGGCAAGTGAAATGCCACGGTCTTTGCCACTCAAGGCCATACTGACACGCGTTGGCTTAGCCCAAGGTTCTATTTCTCCGGAGGTGCAGGCAGTACACGACAACTAAAAAACACAAGGGAGTGTTACTAGAAGGAGGTCAATAACAACCTTGATTGAATCTCCGTTAATGCACTTGAAACATCTTTCTGGATACTTCCCAAAACAGTCATATTTGTTATTCTTTGGCGCTCAACCATTCTTGACAAAGGCTTGGGCGTGGGTTTGGCCATTGATGTGTCCAAAGTTAAATTGCATTTTCGGGTGAATTTGTGGCCTTCATTTTGGGGTCCAAAAACACTTGCACCACGGAGGGCCTCCCCACTGCGGCCCGTGAAGATGCTCGTCAGATCCTTGCAGAACTCATTGGTCGAGAAGGCCCCCGATTGAATTCAGGACCGGTGCAGCACTTAATGTGACTTCTTTTGATCCAAAGGAGTGTCACCAGAGCAGGTCCTCAGAACTATGACCCTGTCGGATCTGTGGAGAGGAGTCAGGAGGTCAAAGAAGGAACAGCCAACTGGAACTGGCCAAGGAGAAGTGCGACCTGCAGGAAAGCCTTGTTGGTTGGGAAGCATGTGCACGGCTGTGGTTGTGGAACGCTTTGTGAGTGAGGCAATTTGTATCCTGTCAAGAATTCGCTTCACATTTCATTGTTGCCGAGATTGAGGGCGAGTTTACTTTTAGGCCAAGAGTTTGAAGTTTGTTTTCCCCATTGTTTATCCACTGCATTTGGTGGGCATTCATTTGACAGACATGCTGAAGGGATGTGGGAAGAGCAAAGCGAAGAATGTTGGTGGCACCAAGTCACCCAGCGACTCCAAAACTGTTCTCCGAGACATGCGGTTGCAGGCTTTGCAAAATCCAGTTTGACTGGCACCGGCACGGTGCATGATGCACTGGCTGACAGCCTGTCCACTCGTATCCCGATGTCCCGACAAGCTTTCCGCTAACTGTCCAAAACTTGCAGAAAAAGACCTCTCTGACTGGCTGTTCAGAGGGGCACCATGGTGAGACAGCATCACCCCCCTCCCTCTGCGGGAGGGAGATGCATGGCTGCAAGACTGCAAGGAGCGTCACTATCCCTGCTTGTTCGATATGTCATTCATTACAGCCATCTCCATCTCACTGACAGCCAAACTACTGCACAGCATCGATAGGCCGCACTGCTGACAATGGATGGCCCTTTCGTTTGGAGCGTCAGAGCCGAATTGTCACCAGTGGTTTTCCAAATCATGAAGTATGAGCATAAGAGAACAGAAACGCACCCTAAAAATCAACCATGCCGTCTGACTAGCTTTTCCAAGTTGGTCTGATCTGATTGCCCACGCCTTTGTAAACACAAAGCAACACAGAGCAATATCCCGGGCATGGGGATCACCTGCTTCTCTCGCTCATAATGTGGTCAACTTGTTCAGCTATTAATCAAGCCAGGAATAGTGTCAGCAACTTCGACTTGGCTCCAGGCTCTTCGAGTAGCCTTTTTGCGCTAATTCAACGCCCGATTTTGTGAAAACACAGCAGCAAAGCTTCGTTTTCGATCCCGCTCCTTGAGCCAAAGTTACAGTCGCTTGTAGACTGTCTCAAACGTCCTCAAAGCTTCTCTTAAGCTCATCCACTCTTCTCAAAAGAGTACAAGACTACCCATAGTCATCTCAAAGCTACACAAAACTACAAAGAACTACGTCAAACAGTCTCCAAAGACATCGTGCTCTACCAAAAGGTTCTCCAAGCTATTCCTAGCCACAAGTTGCCACTTCAAACATCCTCCTGCTAAGGTGGTCAAAGGTCAAACACAAAAAGGGCACAGATCACCACCCAGCTCCAACCCCAAGCACTCTAAAAACGAAAATTCCCTAAAGAAGCAAGCACTAGGTGAGCCATACACTGTACACGTGCGCTGTACGTTACTGTTCACACCCCTTCTTGTGTCGCATAGCGCTACCTTCTTTCTTCTTCTGTCTTCTTCTCTTCTTCTATTCGCTTTCTGTGAGCAACTAAGGATCAGACATCAACTAAGATCCAAACTTCTGCCCTCAAAGGTGACCTCAATGGTATCAATCCAGAGGTAAACTCGAGTCCAACCCAAGCAAAACTCCAGATCCATCAAAGAGCCAACTTCAACCCTCAACCAACACGCATTCAACCAATGACAAACGTGTACTGAGGATCCCTCAGAGGCGAGCCATGAGATCTCAGGGTCAGATCCCTTCTGCATGGCCTTCTGGTCTCATCATCGGGATCCTCAAAAGCAAAAGCTTTCAAGGACAACTTACCTGTCAGCTCAGGATGCAAAAAGGTTATCTAGAGTTACAATGCCGCGCAAACCTCTAACCTCAAGACCTGGCAAGGACACAAATCCCCAAGAAGTTATCTAGACACAAGCTCGCAATGAACAAAGTTGCAAGCAAGCACAAGTGAACTCGCACGAAACTCGCTGAAAGCTAAACCTGCGATGAACAAAGCTCCAAGCAACTGCACAAGACATCACAAGAAACTCTAGAGGTTAAACTGGAAATGAACTTGGTTCCAATCATCCTGCATCAAGTGAACTCGTCACGCCACAGAAAATCCAAACTCTAGAATCAAAACCCTCTTGCCACGCTGCACGTGTCTAATTCGACCTGCCTTTCTGATCTTTCCTTTCTCTTCCTTTCTCTTGCTTTCTCTTGCTTTCTTCTTCCTTTCTCCAATCAAGACACATCTTCAAGAAAAAGAATAACAAGACAAAAATGCATCCAAGCACATTCTCCATGGATTCAACCTGACATATCACGTTTACATGCCTCAAGTCAAGGTCGCAAGCCAAGGTTGCAATCATGGTGCTCGTGTCTCTCGGGAAAAACAAAAAGAAAATAAGAAAGATCATCGCTCTTTTCTTTCGTGGTGCTGGACGTGGGAGCTCATGGCCTTCCATCAGGCTGAGTTGGGATACTACATCCCCGCTCATGACCTCAACAAGGTCTTCAAACAAGAAAATGGATGCCCAATCCTTTACAAATGGGACTCATCCGGCGCCCAGCCCTGAGGTACTGTCATGTACTGTCCACTCGCAAGGCGGACTCGCTTGAATCCTGGCGGAGGGAATCCTGGCGGTCCCTCTCGTTCGAGAGCCTCGGTGCCGTCGGGGTCATTGGCGTAGCTGGCGTACCTGCCGCCTGTGGAGCCACATTGGGTGCCATGGGAGGCTGTGGCAAATCTGTCCCGGGGATTTTGGGAACTCCAGTTCCTGGATATGCCAAGTTCTGGAATGCAGCTGGCACACCTGGCTGGGTAACTCCACTGCCAACTGGGTTGAATCTGAGGCGGGAAGGCCGGAGCCGTAGTCGGAGCCTTTGTGGCCTCTTTCAAAGCCATCTTCTGACCCTCAATCAACTCACGAAACAAAGTGTTCGTTTCCTTCTGAGTCTCTTGAAGTCCATCAACTCCTTCACACAAGCTCGCCAACACCTCAAAACTCTTGGTAGCTGTCACTGAAGCCTCGCCAAGAAGCTTGCCTTGCGACAGCATGTGTTCCTTGAGCGAGCAATTCACGCGAGTCAAGGTCTGCTGCTGCCCTTCGATCTTTGGCCCGAGGGTGCAACTTGCTTCTCCGATTTTCTCGGAGGCCTCCCACATGCGAGTCATCACCTGGCTCAAACTCCCGAATTTGTGGGTCGCCCACAACAATGTATCCAATAAGCTTTCAACACGGATCTCCCCACTCGGCATGGGTTCGGTCACACTGGCAGCATCGCTCTTGTCAACCTCCTTATTCTGAAGACAAAGGAGCTTTTCAAAAATAAGCCCAACCGAACATCCCTGCACCAGATCGTAGGTGCCGCAAGCGGCTTGCCATCTCAACAATCTCGTTCCTCAAATCTGTTAGAGATTTCCCTTGGCAACCAAGGAGATTCTCGTTCAGTGGCAAAAAGATGGAACCACCAAGCTGGGGTCTTGCCCAGCGGCCTCGCGCACGGACAATTCGGACACAAGAGATTTGACCAAATGCAAGTCGCTCTCTTGGTTGGGGGCAGCAGTATGCCATCGTGTGGCCTCAACTCGAAACGTGTTGACCGAGGTGGTCTCCATGAGCTCTGATGAGATTTCCGTCTCCTTGGAATTGGGCCAGCTCAGTCAAACTCAAGGACACAAGGTCTCGTCCTTCAAAAAGGACTGCGGCCATAGTCGGGGCCTCCTGAGCAGTCAAACTGGTCATTGGAGTCTCGGAAGTCACAGCGGCCATTGCGCGTGCACGGCAGGTCACAAGTCACACGTAAACGTGAAGCGG